GATTTACCGACCCTAAAGGTTACACGAGAGATCCGACCGATTAGCGACTGACTCGCCGTTTTACGATTACAACGTACTGAATCTGTGAGAGGTTATGTCGATCATCATGGATTGTAACCAATAAATTCACAAATAGAAGTTTCCAGCATGAAATTTTAGTTGTATAAGAACATTTTTAAATATCGAATATTAAGTAAATTAAAGCCTCTGATCTTTGTGCTCTTTCGATTTGGTAATCGGCATAACCTGTCACAAATTTAGTACATGATGCATTACATATGCACCAAAGTCGATTTAAACATTAAATTCTATGTCTGAATACGTAGTCAAATTTTACATCTTGATTGACTATTTCCTTATTAAGAGTCTTTTTGTGTAAATTAACCAAGCTAAATCGCGAAATTTTGTTTACCGGATGAGCCAGAGGTCAAAAAATAAAACTTCGCAAAAATACGAAAACCGGTATTCTAAACCCGTCTTGGGCATTAACAAAAAAATGTTGAGAAGGCAATTACATATATCTTTATCCTCATCCTAACTCTAACCTTAAACGAGGCTTAACCATAATTTTAATTAAAGCTTTGATAAATCACGTGGTACATGGCTTTATATTTGGTAATATCAATTTTGACTTTTGTTAACATATAGTAGTAATATTCGGTATTCTAGTGTAAATACTCATTGAATACACATACTTGCTAACAAATGACTCTAAGGAATCTGTCAATCTTGACCATTTAATTCCACAACCAAATAAGGGAAAAATATCATCTGGCTCACAAGATGGCATACGGTATCTACGTGTTTACCATGCTACGTGTGTTATTTAAGGACATAAATTTATATTGGTTCAATGTATTTTTTTGAAATGTCCGAAAAATTTATCTTGACTATGATAAGTTTTCAAGCAAACTTGAAGTTTCATTACCATATTACCCGTGCACGCGCCATAAGATCTCTGTTAAAACAAATGCGGATGTTTTTTAAAAACCTAGTTTGCTTATCATAAATACAAAGTGTACATGCACTTATGAATTTACCTAGCTACAATATATACATACAATTGTATATTATACTTGGCTACCCCGCGTTTTGAACCTTATATATTACCTTTTATGGTCTTTCATTACCTTTAAGATATTACCTTTTATGGTAATTAATGCGCTTATGACCGAATTATATCTAATTAGAAATGTTATCGCTAAACATTAATCATATAAAAAGCTTAATGCCTCCTTTTTTATTCTATAAAAATTGGTCGAATGGAGTCGATTTTCCGAACAGGAGTTTGTTTTTGTACTGTTTTCATTTCGATATTTGTACTGGATATGAAAATAGAAAAATTGTTGGGTTGAATGATTATCGTATACAAAATGTATATAGATCCAATAACATCCAATACACATTCAGAACGGAGTCGATTTCCGAACAATAAATCGGATAATTTCGATTTTTTTTGTAGGATATGCACGCCTTCTGTATTATCTTTAACATTAATTCAATAAAATGTAATAAAATAAGCTTTAATAGCGTCAAAAAACTTGAATGTTTATGTCAATATTATTTATATAATACAATTAAATTTAGCAATACATCGAATGTATATCGGTTAGAGACTAATATTTCAACTTATATCTATTTATTATCTTCATATATTAAAGAGACTGTGCCCCAACCCATAAAAGTTTTATTGCGTAATAAAATATTAAAGTTCATTAATTGTAAAATCATTCTCAATTTGTATAATTTTTTTTTCTTGGTACGACGGATTATAAGTTTTTTTTTCTTTACTGAATGAACGCTTTATAAGTAAGAATTGCATCCTTTAATGTTAACACAAACATTCTGCATATGTTTAGTTCTTAGAATGGATTACAAAACCTAGTATTGTACCAAATTATCAAGATACACAACTACTGTATAATTTATTAATAATATTTTAAAAAAGAAAAATAGAATGTAATTCAACTACTATGATTTGTAATCGTTGATCGTTACTATTTAGGAGCTTATGTGACAAGATGGATTTAATTCGTTGAGAACCCGGTAATGTCGCGAGCAACAGGTGATTAACTGGACTGGTTTTATGGGGTCATGACCATGGATGGGGTATCCCCTTTATTTAAAATACTTTTATCTTCTTCTATAGTTTATTTTAAATTTCCTTGTTTAGAAGCACAGATCACATGGCTATAATCTCTTATATCCTTTTATCTTTTATATGTTTCTGGGTTATTTTAAATTTCCTTGTTTAGAAACACATGGCTATCATCTCTTGTTCAGTTAGTGTGAAAATACATTAAAACTTAAAAAAATCTTGCTCTACTCCATCGTTTTGTGTTATTTAATTGGTCAAGTGCTTTCATAAATTTTACATCTCCGTCATTTTATGATGGCTTAAAATATTAGTAGTTATTAAATAAATTTGTTAGAATATTCTAGCATTTATTGACGAATTTTGTTGCATTAAAACATAAAAAATCCCATGTCCACTTAAATTCCATTCACATTTACAATGTACATAATTAAATGACACAATTATCTAATGATCTGTGAATATACCCGCGTTGGTGAAAAGTAATTGTACAGTGACCTTTTTGATCGCTGATATACTATTGATTACACTTAACGACTATACCAGTATTAAGTGTATATAATAAATAATTATAGAAATTCAATATTATTGGAGATAGTAAAAAAGGTCACTGTTCAGTTACTTTTCACCAACCCGGTATATATATATATATATGTATTAATTTTACTCTTGAGGAAAAACTTTGTACTGTGAAAAAAAAGAAGGTAAGCAATAAATTGCTGATTTAAAGCAAAACATATTTAGGCAAATAACTTTTTGAAACGAGCCATTTATTAGTTTATATATCGAAATTTGTTTAAACTATGACTGCTTAATAGTTTCTCTTGTTTCAACTACGATGGCTTAACTAGTTTCTCTTGTATAAACTACGACGGCTTAAATAGTTTTGAAAAAACTGAAATAGTTTCGTTTAAACCCATTTTCGATAATTTAGTCAACCTTTGATAAGTTCTATAGTTTCTTGCATTATGCATTAATTGTTGAAAGAGAACTCCTTTACAATGCTTCTTATATTAAGCTATTAGTTAATAAAAGTCGAAAACTCCAAGTTTCGTTTAGCAACATAAACTAACATTAAGTTCTAAAATTTTAAGGATAAGAGTCGCTATAGATTTTCTTTTAAGAAGCGTTAATTGTATGTATTATAAAACAAGATTCTTATAAATCATATCGTTACTATAGTATAGCCTCATAAAGTTTTTGTTGTTTCTTCAGAGAACTATCTGTTTGTGTTTCAGCTTGGAACTTGTTAATGGAAAGTGGATGAGGAATTTTAGTGTATGTACTATAAAAAAATATTGCCTTTCTTATATATCATCACGTCCACATCATAATCTCATAAGATTTGTTATTTTCTCAGCAAACCATCATTTTTGTCCTTCTGCTCAGAATTTGTTAGTGTAGGTGGAATAATGGATACAAAAGTGAAAAGGAATCCACGAGCCTGTGACTCCTGTCGCAAAGATAAAAAGTGCTGCTTTGGAGGGGAAAACGGCGTGAGATCGTGCTCCCGTTGCAGTTGCAAAAATCCCCATAAAAGAAAACTCTGTTCTTACGTACAAGAACTTGATCCTTTGAGAGGTAAATAATGCTTTTAAATTCTTTTGAGTGAATGGCGTATGGAAGTTACAACACAAATTTTTATATGGTGTTAGAAGCCTAACCTTTCAAATTTTATACCTATAGCTGCTGTTACTATTACTCGCTAAATCTATGAACAATGTTTTCATGACCAATAGTTTGGTTATTCATTCAGATTATCAGTATTATTTAACATCTAATAGTATTGGTTTATGTTGTTGCTTATTATGATGAATCACTATTAATGTTTCTAAAAAAGATGTGTTGAATATCTACTTAATATTGTCATTTTCATTTGTTAAATTAAATTATTTTTCGTTTGAGAAAGTGTTAACAGTAACTTATTAACAGAATAAAAAGTTTTTTGGAGAATATATTTCAATCGCTCAATGTATTTCCACAAAATTCTACGTCGACGTAAAACTTATATTAGCTTTTCTATTTTTATCATATAGGTCATTTTGAAGATCAACCAGGATTTGGAAATCATAATGGTGATATTTCACATCCTCATGACATTCTTGACGAATCACCAACAGAAAATAATTTTCTATGTTCGTCAAATTGTTTTGTTGATTTGAGTGAATCATCCGATGATAATTACTTTGAAAACCTGATCAACATTCCCCATAGTACATTACAAACATCTGAACATTCTGGTTTTGAAAATTTAATCTTCGATCACCCTAGCACTTCACAAACATCTGAATATTATAGTTTTGGGGATCTGACTAACAGTCCCCATATCACTTCACAAACAATCATTCCTCAAGGTAGATGGAAATTAATTAACTAATGAGTATCGACAACAATTGCAAACGGTCCCGAGTTAACTTCCTGAAGTTCATTTTTCTGAAATATCATTTCATCGAAGTTGTAATGTCGTGCCTTAAGTTATTATCTGCTTGAAGTTGTTACTTCAAACGCCAGAAGTTAAAATTGCCTAAAATTACTAACTAATGCGTGTAAGGAAGATCTAATTTCGGGGGTTAGTATGGTAACTTCAAGCAAATGTCAACTTCAAGCACACCAATTTCACGTGATGTGATGATCACTGGTTCCTTGTGTCCCCGACAATCCATTTTACTATCGGGATAGTCAGGACAGAAATGGGTCCGTGTCATTTCACTGAAAATCAATTCATCACGTTTATTTTTTGTCGACAATTATTTCACTGACAACTCATTTCACCGGCAAATTTTGTTAAAGTTGTACTAACCTTAACTCTAATTCAAACCTGATCCTAACGACAATGACCGGAATTACTTTGTCAGTGAAATGACTATCGGAGAAATAAACTGTTGATGAACTAATTGTCAGCGAAAAGAACGGATCCGAAATGTGTCTTGTCTTGTCGGGAAAAAGGAATATCTGAATTATGGAGTCGGAAAAATAGCATTTCGTGAAGGTGGACCTCGGTGGTTCAGTTTATTTATGTTAAAATTTTATTTCTATTAATTGAATAGCAATTAAATATTATGATTACCATTTTTATTACTAGATATAGATCATATGAATAACGTAATGCTATATGAGGAATGTTTAAAACAAGGTATGGTAAATAAAAAATTGGTCTTTATTATATAAAATAAAAATTCAAGTATGTTTGCTCACCTTAAATATTAAATTATTTATTTATAGGTTCCAAAATGTTTAATCACTTAACTCTATTAGCTCTATCAGGTAAACTGTGTTTTAGTTCTCAGAGGTATTATTGATGAAATAGCTATAACTTTAAATATTTCATTGATACAGGGCATCGAAATCTAACATCGCCGATAGTAAACGGTAAAAATTATTTTTTATAATATGACATTTATATAATCCGATGAGTTTTTTCAAATTAATTCATGTATATATATTTTTTATTACTTCTATTTATAAAATAGAATGTCTTAAGAATCTTCTTGTGACTTTACAATCACAATCCTCCCAACTAGAAGAATTGTCTGGTCAGCAATCTATCGATCTAGAATCATTGACAATGGACCAATTATCTGGTGCGTAAACTAAAAAAATTTAGTGGCCGAACTATTGTTCATAAAGTATTACGAGGGTCCTATTGTCTTAACCTAGAGTTTAGGAACCGATTTTATTTTTAATATGTAAAACCGGTTTTCCAAACCTAACTAACCCATATCGCATACGTGATACGAAGCCAAATTTCACCAAGAATTAGCGTTAGAGTTAAGGTTGGAGGGCTTATGTGCACAACATTGGTTGGATTTATCACGTGATTGTTATGTCCGTAATGTGAGTGCTGGAGTGTGGGATTTTCAGGTATATTGATTTGCTACAATCACAACACTTACATAATGAATCAATAGTTATTGTGCATATAATCCTCCTAACTTTAACAGCATGTATAATGCTAGTTGTGGTCATTGTTGTGCGCTTAAGTACTTAGGTTATTTCGTGCCGGTAGCCTTCCCTCATGGATTTTAGTAATATCACGTGAGTTTCATTGTCTCCACTAATGGAGTTTCATAGGCAGAAATTCGTCTGATTGGCTAATAAATTCAATTTAATTTTACATTATTTATACAGTTTAGAGTGCTTTTTTTAAAAAAAAAACAAATCCTAATCAATGAAATAAAAAAAGCTGTATATAAGGCTTCATTAGAGCTGTAGGGCTTCATAGTCAAAAATAAGATCTAATTCTTGTCTGTTTAAAAAAATTAGCTTAGTAATAAGTTGATTTTATCGGGTTTTGGGAATTTATTACTATACTACCTTTTTTAAACGGACGAGAATAAGATCTTATTCTTTGGCTATAGAGCCCTACATCTTTAATGAACCTTCCATACTGCTTTTTTTTTTATTTCATTATGATTAGTTTTCGTTTTTTAAAAAGTACACTAAACTGTATAAATGATGCAAAATTAGATTGAATTTATCCTCTGCCTATGAAATGGAGTGCCAAACTCTGTTGGACCGGCTTTAATAATTCGCAGATATCACGTGAATTTTGTGATATTTTAGAAATTTATCCAATTAAATTTTAATAAATTTTAAAATATCACAAAATTCATGTGATAAACACGAATTATTAAACCTGGTTCCAACCTCTACTCTGGAGCAACTCCGGAGTGAACGGCCTAACCCAAGTCGGAGTTGGTTAAAAATGTGCTGGAGTGAACTGAGCCAACTAGAACAGTTATAGAGTGACTCCGGAGTGAACCAAACCCAAGTTGGAGTGAGTTGAGGAATAACTCGCCCAACAACGACCCTAGTCTCTAATGTCCTGAGGAAACTTATAACGACATGACTTATCTCCGTTATCAATACAGAACCGATCGACATGAGATGTACTTTTATGAAACAAATTTTTTTAGAACTTTGAACAAAGATCTCAACAACCATCTGAGCAAATTTTATGATTATTATTAGTTTTAATGCTATAGCTTTTAGAATTAAAATAAAAAAAAGTTCATCGAATTTGTTTATATGGTTATCAAGATAAACCTAATTGTTATCAATCATTTCTGTTCCGATAACAGAAATAAGTCATTCATGTTCATGCTGTGTCGTTAAACTGCTAGCGGACTTTCTATTACATTTAAAATTTGAAAATAATAAAGAGAAAATATACTTGATAGCAGAGCTAGCCTTCGTAATACCATAAATATCGGACAATATCTAATGATATGTAAATTCTTGCCTTATTATAAATATAGGTCAGTATTGGACAGCTTCTCAAGCGGCGGACACTAACATGCAATAAAATACGACAAACGTGTTAATAGTGGCATTAACAACTTATAATCTGGCTACTTTGAAAATATTGTATCGACGAACTTATTACTTACGACTTTGCAATATGAAACCTCTAAACTTATTGGTTTCTCTGGCAAGATCTGAATTTTTAAACATATATTTTCAATATTTAATATCGAGATTTTATTATACATTTCTACTTAGTAGATTTTTTAAGAAGGGTCACTTACCTGGGATTGTTTTTAAACTCAACAGCACTCATATTTATATATGTTTGAAATTGTTGAAGTTTATTTCCCACATTATTGCGTAAATTTTTAATATGAACTTATTCATATGTTATTATGCTCTTTTATTTTAAGGATACAAATTTTATGGAAAAATTTGTTAAATAAAGTAATTTTCACGGAGTTAAATGTACGTTACGTATTCATTTAGTAAATGTTTTCTTTGTCATACAATGACAAATACTCAAAGAGATGTGAAAATGGGGTATACAATCTATTGTTAACTATTTAAAAATCCAATTAACACGTATTTATGTATAGAAAGTATTATGATTAAAATATTCCCTCGCTCTAAGAGTCAACTTTAATCTTTAACACACTTTTGAACTTTCTAATTTTCCTTCAGCATTTATCTCCAAAAAAATTTCTCATAGCCATTTCTGAAGAAATTTCTTTATGTTACACTGTATCGCGTTATTGCATCTCCGGCGTTAGTTGATGATCAATCGATTAGCATTTTAGATTACATAGTTGATGATCAATCAATTAAATTTTAGACTATATACATAGGCGTTAGTTGGATGATTATCAACTAAATTGTCGATTAAATAGCAATATATTTCTAAACTAAAATGAATTTACGCTCTTAATTATCTTTGGTTTCAATCCTAATATGTAATTCGATATTTTTCGGATAAAATTTTGCAAAGACTAATACTATGTGGTGTAAATAATATTAATATAACGATAATCGTCCTTAAGGGTTATAAGTTCGGTGAAAAACCAATCAAAAACAGTATCTTACCAATTATTAATCGCCAAAAATTCTATTGTTTTATATTTTTATTATATTTTTATTTAAATTACATCTCTTAGTCCTTAAACGAATAAGCGAAATTTATAAAAAAAAAATTCATAACTTTGTATGCTTTATTTAAAATTACGCTTTCATTCTTGCGAGTTTCAAATACTTATTGAGATGTTACAGTTTTTGATTGAGCTGGAGCGGAGAAGAACGGAGTGGAAAATCTTCTATGCTATTCTGAATTTAGACAATGTATGTCCGTACATTCGAGTACATTTTAGAAGCATCAGCGTAACCAATAATAGAGGGCACAGTCACATGATTTTCCGATACAATAACCTTCGATTTATGATTTTTTTTCAAAAAAAGAAAAATATTAATCCAAGATAAATAACGAATAGGGCAAACTTTTCAGTTTTAATTACTGAATCAAAATTTTTTGATATATGAGCTTATTTATACGAATCGTAAAACATGATGTTAATTTGGATTGCTTTTGATATCAGACGATATTCAAATATGATAGTGTTAGACCCGAAACACGTGATCCATAAGTGGCCGATTTCGTCATGGGATCTTCGCCGTACGACTTCAAGTCACGTCCTCCCGACTATGAAGATCTCTTACTATAGTGGGACTAACAGTGCCTATAATGCCGATAATGATTA